TATAATTAGTTTAAAGACATCACAGTCACAACTCAGTGTTTTATTTTTGTTTTATTATTTGTGCCTTTATTACAACAAGTATTTTGTAATCTCCCTGCAAATCAAATCATCATTAGTACTTATAATTAATTACTCTAAAGATTTAGCTTTAAAGTAAAAGAAAAAACCACACAGACAACACATCAGATTAAGTGTTTTTTATTAAATTGAGTTGGCTGTTTACAGAAATTAGTAGTCTATATCGATGGGGTGCGCTTCTAAGAATTTGACGTCCGAGCAAGACCAAGGAGTGTGACATGCGTCCATAAAACCTTGACACCTCGAATGAAACACACCAGGGTCCCTCGGACGGTACGCGGGGATATTTGGCGGCTTGCTATGGAAACTTTGTCTATACCAAGCCTTCACATTATTTGAAGCAGAATCCGAAATCGATCGAAAGTCGGGTCGAAAACCGGAAAAAGACGAATGGACCGAACCGAAAATCTAATCTCCTAAAAAAATAAAAAATCCACATACCTTGTGCCACATTGGATTATTACTTGGACTGATTGATGTGGTACAATGTTTACATAAGCTACGAAGCTTAGCTTTTTACGAACAAAGCGTTATAATAAAGAGGAAATTCAGTGAGCCAATTTTGCTATTTCAGACCGAACAAGTCAGCTTTGCGCAAACTTTGTACCAGCATAAATCAGCCCTACCTTATATGGGCTGCTGCACACTGTCATGTTCCTCCACCAAAAGACAAGGGAGACTGGTGTCCAAAATCCAAAAAAGGCGTAGGTAGCGAAAAAAAAGAAGAAGTCGTAGAAGTCCATGATGACGAGAAGTTTTCCAAAGGTGAAGTTCGGCCGGCCAATTAAATTTTAATTATAACATTGGTGGCTGTCTCAACTAACATTGGACTACGCGACATTAAGAACTGCGTAACAAGGGATCAGACATGACAAACACTTAACTAATTTCAGAATTACGGCGACTTTTATGAAAAATTGAAAAGGGTGGGGGGTGTTCGGGGATGGATATAGACCCTTACGGATATCAACGTTAGTTAAGACAGCTCATTGAAGTTATTTTTATATGCTGTCTCCTCGGTCTTTACCTTGCCTTCCTAACGATGAAGTCGTTTTCACTATGATGTCATTGGCGTCTGCTTGCAACATAGCCAATTAACATTTTAGCGTGATTTTCTTCAGTTCAATTATGACCCTTAACCAAACGCAAATAAAATGAATTTAGTAGAAGCAGAATGACGTCTTAGTGAAAACGATCATCATCATCATAGTCGACGTCATCACCACCATCATCATCATCATCATTGTCTGGTTTGGCCCTATATGTTTCTCCTTCTCAATTCATCGCCGCAAAGGCAGCTACCTCGCCTACTTAATTAACTGGACTATCTTTCTGTACATCTGGAGGTTCTTTGTTCTTCTTTCTTCGGCCGGCCTCTTCCCTTGATGTAGCAATGGACCCACAATTCAACCACATACAATACAATCAAGCATACGATCAAAAGCATTTTATTCACATTTCCAAAAGCAACTATTTCTTGTTACAAGATTCAGGGAAAAAAAATAGACAGTGTGCTGCTTAAGTATTCACTCCCAGTCATGAAGTACTTTAAAAGCTGTCGGGGGTAGAACACTGTAGGCCAATCTCGGACCAGGATTAAGATAGGAACCGATAGCCACGAACGGTCGACGTGAAGACTACGTACGCCTACCATTTGTAGACGATCTGTGCCTGCGTTCTGCAATGCAGGGCTTCCTAAGAAGAAAACCCTCCAGCAAGGCAAAATTAACAAGAAGACAAACTAAATTGTCTTAATGTCAAAGATGCCACGCCAGAGTATCCTCTCCTGCTACTTACTGAAAGACTATCTATAACCTGCGAGGTTTTCACCTGAATGCCATTCAGGGGCATGCATATCAAGGTATGGTGGGCCTCCACATGTGTGTCCCCGAAATATTCGGCCTGTTAGCATTCTCGTAATTACTTCGCAGGCTACTAACGTTGCCTAAAAGCCGATCGGCTTGTTCGTGCTCCTCCAGCGGTGAAACTGCGTCGTAGATTGGTCTCGAAGACTTCCTACGCTTACGATTTGTAAACGATCTAGCCTGTGGTGTGTGGATTGTCCCATTTTTCCCTAGTAACCTGCCACAAGGTGTTGGCTCTTCGCGGGAAGAAACGCCTGGTCGCAAATTACCTTCTTTGTAAGACTAAACCTGTCAACTGATCTACCCTCACAAGTTCGAAGTCTGAAAATCAACGCGCATAAAAAATTTTCGTTTTGCATTCGTACTGTTTAACATGAAAAAAGGTCAAATTGGAATGGGTAAGAGCTGACTCGAATTTGTGAGACTAACCTGACTATCTACCTGTAACCAGAGAGACCATTGAGCTTGTAAGCAGAGGCCAAATGAGGTCCTCTCACTACAGCTAAATGGTCTTACGTCTCTAGTTTACTAAGTTACGTCTTAAAATAATCACTGTCTGGTTGAACCTTGCGAGTGAATGCTTCACTTGCCCAGCGCAATGACTATCAAGTGAAGTGTGATGAATTGAATTTGGCGCAACTAAGCGGGAGACTGCAGTCACGACGACGACGACGACGACGAAAAACCAGCGGTGAGTCCATCCGAAAAAGGCGCAAAAACCGCAGCCGAACCGTTTCCTAGAAGTCAAGCCGAATCCTGAAAGCCGAACCTATTCCTAAAATCCGAACTTATGTCGCTGACCGAACACTTGCAAAGGAACCCAACTTATAGAAAAGGGCAGGGGAGGCCCTTACCATCCCGGGGAAGCCCGCTAACTAATCTAACTACAGTTAAGTTAAGCCGAAAAAAAATATCCGAAAACTTCAGGCCGAACGTGTGTGGAAAGTATGCTTTGCAAGGTTCATCCAGAGCTCTATATATCCCCCTTGACCCAACCCACAAACAATGCACCTGACCTGTATCATTTCAAGAGGTTGGGTGTGCTGTGCTGATTTGAAGTGGAACAATCAAGGATGGTAGTCTGTTGGGCTGATCTGGTGGTCTGGTGTGGCGGTGGTTGTCTGATCTGATTGGCTGATTTTGGTGTTCTGGTCTGAAGATGGTCTGGATCTGAGACTCCTCTGATTGTCTGGTGTCGTGGTCTGATCTGGGGCGGATCTTATGGGCTGCTGTGGTGCTCTGGTTTTATGGTCTAATCTGGAGGTCTGCATGAGAAGGATGGTCTGGTCCGACGGCTAAAAATTAAAAAAAGACGAGAAGCTTAGGAAATAGTAGTGAAAAGGCTCTAAACGTTTCAGAGAGCTACGTAAAGAGAAACGGAAAAAATACGGTAATACTTGATTTTTCAAATTCAGCTGCAATTGAAAACTCTCATGCCCTGAAATGGTTTGCAAAGACTCAATCAAACTATATAATACAGGGCTGTGCTGACGATCTTTACGAATGTTTCCCATTTGTAGAATGAATCGTTAATTGTAATGTTCATCACCATAGTAACAATTCAGGCTAGGCCTCAATATATTAGTGCGACAGATCGCCCGTGATGCAGTGACATCATATGAGGTTGGTTTTTATCAGGGCAATTAAGCTGAAAACTGGCCAAATATAATGAAAACTATCTGACTTGTGCAAAAACTGATCACTATTTTACAACTTGATGTCACTTTAAAAGTCCTTCTTGATCCCAATCTATTTAATCGTCAATTGTCTAATTGTTAATCGTATGTAACTATTTAAAATCATTTTAAACTATAAATTGCGTGTATATCTTGCTTCGTCGATTCACTCATTTAACCACTTTTTTTTTACACGACCCTATTTGAATGTAACAATCCAACGTAAGAAAGAGCAAGACCTTAACAAATTTCAGATATTCAAGCCTGATTATAGTAGTTGCGCTCGAGGAAGCTGAAGTAGCGAGTTTACACAAGTTTTTTCGAAATAGGCCATTTTATAGTTATGGATGGAAGCGAGGCTGACGGTGACCTTGTTTTGATAGAAACCTCCCTGCTTTATTATGTAAATCAAGTTATTCTTATGCTAACTAGTAGTTTTCAAGGACAATTTCCATAACAAAGCAAAGGAGGTTTCTATCAAAACAAGGTCACCGTCAGCCTCACATTCACTCGAAGGCTAGGGTACTAAGTCCACAACTGTAAAATGGTCTATTGCCCAATTAAAAACGTTGACAACCAAAAGTACCAAGTCAAGTTTTCATATCACGTTGAGTGCAAGGTACTTCTTCTTTATTCTTTTGAGTATAAATGTTTGTAAAACATTTTGCGAAAAAAAACTTTAAAAAACCTTCTGCAAACTTACAGGCTTTCCGTTATAGCTTTTATTATATTATTTAAAGTAGGAACGGTGGCCATATTTTGCCGGCGTGGTTATTAAACTTCATCAAAATCTCGCTGTCATGTTGAATACTGGGAAAAAAAATGAATCAAATTTGTCGTCTTTTATGGTGAATTACTGTCTGTGTCACCAATATGAATTTGGATGAAGAGCAAAATATGATTTGCTAGATTAGTTTCTTTATCTAAGACTCCACTGAGCTTCGCTTGTATTTAAGACGGCCACGTGTTCGACCATGTACGAACTACACAGGGCTATCAAAATTATGAACTATAAAGAAATTTTGCTGAGTGCGGAGAATTGGCTTCGATTCTACTCGCTATTTCTCCTCTGAGAACAAACTAGTTTAAAATGCGACCATTCGACAACAAATAACTTAATTTTTTAAGTTGGACTCGTCGGAACACAAATTTCAACCATACAGACGATAAATTTAACAAGTATAATTCACCTCGTTTGCTGGTTTTAACATCCCACACTTCTTCGTTCATAGTTAGCTTTCTCTGAGAAGCTGAGAAAGACAGCTAGGCAGTTTAAACGAGAGGTTCTTGCCCGTTTCTCCTTCGTGAGCAACCTTCGCCAGCTCTCACAACTGAAGTTTCCAATTTTTGAATGTGGCGTGGAGCAACGTCATGTTTGATTTGAATAATAATTTCTGATTGGAGTTTCTTACTGCACGTGTCTATGTAGCAAGAACAAGGATTGTTTACCACAAACACCTCTGGGCAAGCCATTTGGGACTTGTAAGGTTAATTAACTAACATTTCAAATAAATTATTTAAAAAGGTCTTGGGGGAGTAAAACAAGTAAGGCGAAAAATTGGTTAATTTATTTGGTAGGAAAGGAAAAACTTGCCAAATCGTGACATTTTGCTCCTGTGTGTACTTTGTAAACGAAACTTGACAAAATGCTTGCTTGGCAAAATGATAAAGATAAAGATTTCCCATTTTAATACAGGAGTTTGCGGTTTTTTGATGCAGCTCAACGTAAAACTTTACACAAGGTTTTCAAAATCATTATTAATATAAGAAACCTCAAAGGTGAAAGCACTAAATGTGATACAAAAGCGATAACGCAACAATAAGCGTACCAGAGCAGGACGGTCTCAGTTCGTTCCGTTTAATAAACTTTCTTTTCTCGGCCTGTTTACATGGAGTGGGGGACCCCGGTCTAGTGGGGTTGGTTCCTTTTGTTTTCACGCTCTGGGGGGCACAAAACAAAAGAAACCTACCCCACTAGACCGGGGTCCCCCACTCCATGTAAACAGGGTCTAAGTTCTCACTGTCAACGAGGCGTGTGCTTCGCATTGTTAGCGCCAATCAATATCGGAAGCGAAGATATTCCTAATTAGGTATCGTCTGTTTTTTGTTAACCAGTCAAAATACAAGCATTGCACGTGCCCGTAAAGGTTTGAGAAGAACTGCATGTTAAACCCTTTTTTTAACTCGATATGGCCATAATTTCGGGAAAATTAATCAGGAAGGTCCTGTCAAACAGTGTTAAGATAAGGTGTTTACAAAACTCAAGACAGGAAAGGCAACGATACGCCTCAGACTGAAAAATCATTGGGGTCAAATCTAATGACCAAAACAACAACTTTGCACGTACATCACACGTTTCAGTGGTACATTTCTTGGCTGTCAACTGCACACAAACAATAAATCCGACATTTTCAGTCGAGAAGGAGTTTTCAGTTTAATGGGCACCTCCTCATTAGGCGAATACGAGAAATGCCGCTAGATAAAAAAATAAGTCCTCGTTCTGCACACAGGGTAGTTATCTTAGGGTTTTTTGGTCCTCACTAATTTCAAAGTTTCAAATCCTCAGCAGAAACGCTGTGCCTAAACTTCGGTCAGGTACCCCATCCCTGGGTCTCTTACCAACAAAATCCCAATCTTTATTCTTCCTGGGCCAAGAACACGAAAAAAAACTAAACTAAACTAGCACCATGGAAAAATACTGCTGAAGAGGTTTTATTATATTTGAGGATTTTGTGGAAACACTCAAAAGCCAAAAGTGTGTATTAAACAGTCTAAGATTCTGGGACACTCCCCACCTACCTCTCCCCTAACCCGATGTTAACACAGCAGATCGTTGAATTGATCATCCTTCATTTAATTCTTCACTCCGCAGTTCATACATGTGATTTTCATATATTCAAAACTTCATCATCATCATCCTTTCACGGGTTTATAACGAGCCAATTCAACGACCTGCCCCCAATCGGCTCGTTAGCTTAATTGATAGAGCGCTGCATCGGTATCGCAGAGGTTAAGGGTTAAAGTCCCGCACAAGCCTGAATTTTTTTCAGGCTCTCTTTTCCCAGCTGCAAAAGATGCGTATATAACTGCGATTTTCATTCTTCATTTAATGAATTCTGTAGTCGTGTAGTTAACTGACTGGACGTCATCGTGAAAGTGGCCTATTGCATCGAACATGTGAACCAGGCATGACCCACGCAATGCCCAGCAGCTTTAGATGCTGGGGGTCCTTAGTAAGATGTTTTCTGTGCATATAACTTCATCTTGGTAAAGCAAGCTTGTAAACCTCCAAAACTTCACGCTTATATCAAGTTTCCAAAAGAAATAATAATCCGCAAGTAGGCTCGCTTATGGCAATCATGTAAACCAGAGGTCATCAGATGTTTGCAAAGTTTCAAAAAAACTTTACTAGTACTCATAAAAAATCTTTACCATAAAACGTCACCAGCGATAGTTAAACGAGTAAACATAGATATTTGTATATAATTACGATATATGCTAATAAATGGAAAAACGGGCAAAAAATGATCATGACTTCTTCGCGAGAATTGACATTTATTAATAGTATGAATTCCCCGTTTGTAAACCAGTTGAGTTTTGCGACTTAAATCAATATATATTTTATATTAATTGTCTCGTATTTCTAACTGATTGTTTCCAGTGGTTAAATAAATAAGTACAATTCTTTACAGCAACCGACAACGGTTTGAAACTCGCGGAACTGAATGTTAAAATTTTGGATCGACCCAGTTATTATACAAAACGCGTCGGGGTATGCCCTTCTTCACTTTGTGCTGGCCACTTGAGATGTTCGTGGCACTATTCACACCATCTTCAGCAGCCGCTGTTGGACTTTGGTTCCCTACTTTCCCAAATTTGATGGTGGCCACTGCATTTCCGCTTTCAGCGGGGTGACTGGACTGATCTTGATGGTCCAAACTCATAAGCAAATCCGATGGTATGAAACCAGGAGGGAGAGGAAGACATCGATAATGTGGCGCTCGTGTCTTCTGTACTACTGATATGTGGCCGTTCTCCCCTAATTCTTCTTCGGATCCACTGTTGAAAGGAACAACAGCCGATAAAGGTTGCGATGACCTTCGCGAGATTGAAAGCGTCCTTCGCAAGCGGTTTAACACTCCATCTCGACTTCGTGATTGCCTACTCTCGGCTTCCCCTCCGGCTAAAGGTGGAGGTGGAGAATGTTCATTATTCACCCCGATGTGGCTCCTGCCTACAGAGTTCTCAGCCAATTCAAAACGATCATTAGGCTGCCTGGAAACAAAACTATTTGCACTGGCTCTTTTCATCTTGCAAGAGCAGAATGGAGTGTTACACATCTGAGAGAGATATATACAGTGGCGCTAGCGGTTATTGCGAAATTTTTAATTAGGTAATTTATTTCCCTAATTACTGCGTAATTGGAGCGATTCGAGGTCTTTATCCCCTTAGATTCCTCCAAGATGATGCTACTCAATAGAATACTGACATTTAAAATGCATTTCTGATGCCAGTCTAATAGGATAAGAAAAACATATCCGGAATTCTTCTTACTTGTAGCTTACCGTGTACAAATTGGTGAAGTAGACCTTTGTTCAGTTTCAGTGAAAATTAGGGCATTCTCTTTGACTCGTCTTGTCGGCGTTTTCGATCAATTTTTGCGTTTTTAAGACTTATTAGACCTATTAGAAAATTGCCATGATATCTCCTCAAATGAAAGAATGTCCCCGAAATATCACGTGTTTTTGACGAACCTCTATTGATTTACAACCAATTAATCTATTTGTGTAATTACATTTTCATATGAAGTAGTCAATTACAGGACTTGGAAGATTTCCTGGGCTAATTAGCGGAGGTAATTATCGATTTCAAACAACATTATGATCAGTCGAGTGTTAAATTGCTGCACATTTCAGTTTAAGCGATAGAATGAGTTGTATCACCAAAGCGAAACTGATTCCTAATATGATTAATCCCTGAGCTAAAAGACGATGCCATGGCACAAATAAAAATCTTCCAAAGTGGGAACACACAAAACAATTTTTTTTTCACAAAAATTGTAATCAGTAATTAATGGGAGTATTGCCACAAAGAAGTGGTATCAAGGCCGGCTGTCCTCGAAATGTTTAAACGCACTATGCCTACCCTCGAAAAGAGGTGTAGTTACCTTTTTCGTTTCAACGCTAAATGGATTTCAATTACGACACAATTTTGAAATTGGATCTGAATTGAAAATTGATTGAGCAAATAATCAAGGTAAAGAATCACAAAATGAAAAATTAGGAGTGCCGACTACCCTCCCTTCCCAGAAGGATTTTCGATATTTGTTTTTCGATGAAACAAAGATGTTGTTGTTTTTCCACCACGATTTGGTTGTTTTGCATCAAGTTCGATCACGTTCCTGAAAAATTTAACCTTCACTTTGCTTCTCTCGTCACTAAGATTGGAGTTGATTGGCATGGCATCAATAACAGTCTATCCAAAACTACTGAAGATGGGGACAGTAGACAAAACTCTCAGCCAACAATTCAAGCAGTTCAACAAAACTTGGAACAAAGCTGACTTTCTTCGGAATTGCAAAGATGAAAACGAAGAGCCCGCAGATCTAGAGTGCCTTATAGTTGTTTTATCGACGTGTCAACCTAGCCTCCACCAGCAACCAGAAATGCGCGAAATGCTGTACAAAAGATGTCGATGGTTTGACGAAGATCCTCAACCGGCTAATATGTCTTCATCGACCTCTTCACACCAGCGCAACAGATCAAGAACTTCCCCCAAACAACTCTTCCAAGTAGCGAAAGTTCACAAAAAGGTTTTACCTACCACTGTTTCCCCTTTGATGGAAGTTGAAAGCGACTTTGGTCCATCACAGACACAAGCTGCCTGAAATAACGCTACGCAAGTTATAGTACAGGTTAGCTTTCCACCCAACCTCGTCCCGAGGGAAAAGCGCCCTGGGGACGAGGTTGCTTTCCACCCGGATACGTTCCCTCTAACGCGATTGTTCACATCAACAGAAAGCTGGAATCGCAACCAGTCGCAGAAGTGACTGCTACAACTTTCACAAAGCCTGGCACCATCTCAAGCTCCTCACAAGTTGCGTTTCAACGACTTGCCGCCCTCCGATTCAGTTGGAAGATCTTGAACATCTTGCAGGGAATAGGGATGTTTTCTGCTAAATCTTCTGCTTGATCAAGAACAGTGATCAAGCCGCGTCTAGTAGATGCAGAAGTTACCTCAGGCCCAAAAGTACCCTCCAGAAACAAATCCTGACTGCATAAATCTTTAGCCCAAAAGTCATTAGGTTCTTCGTCAGCTGATGAAGAATTCAATGAATTTTGAGTAGCAGCCAAGATGTTCAAGATCTTTCAACAGAATCGGAGGGAGGCAAGTCGTTGAAAAGCAACTTGTGAGGAGCTTGAGATGGTGACAGGCTTTGTAAAAGTTTTAACGGTGCAAAATTTAGTTTGTGGCACCTCCGAAACAGACTCAAGGAAAATCTACATACAAAGAAGCAATAAAAGAGCATTATTTCTGGAGGATAAGTCATCAAGAATGCAAAATCTGAGGTGGTTAATGCTATAAAACTTATTGACCCTGAAAAACCATCGAGCCACCTTAAAACAGCAAAATTTACCCAGAACTTTTACGACTAACTTTCTCTTTACAATATATCTTTTCTGAATCTGAATAACTTAATAATCTCATATTATAACGTAAGAAAAGTGAAATTGTTAAAATTCCATCTGTTAATACAGGAACAAAGTGTGACTACTTTTGGTTCCTAACGGATTGCATTCTGTCAATACTTGGGCTTAGTGCACAATCGGGTACTGTATCTCAAAGAACCTAACTTATTATATGATGCAACGACCAATATGTAATTGGACAGCCCAAATCATCTATATCCCCCATGTTTTGAAAGGTTTTATCAACAAAGAAGCAAATGCGATTTGGTGAAAAAGAATCTTTGCAGGTTTTTTTTACTGAACACAACTGATCACTCCACCCTTTTAATTAATTGGAACTCTATGATCTGTAGTCCAATACAGATCCAGGTCACTGGGAACCCTTCACGCAAAAAAGAACTTGTTTCATCTTGTTTGTCCATTCAATATCCCCATTGGTTTTCATACTTATAGAAAAACGTGTATTACCGAACCTCGCGAAGTTCGGGGGAGGAGGGCCGTAAAATGTTTAAAGGATGGGAGAGATGGAGAGAAATAGAGTAAATTGTGTAACTGGGGAGGGCGGGTTTCAACAACGGCTGTAACATTGGAAGCGGAGATATATCCTATCTCTTTTTGGTTGGTGCCGCGGTAAACTCGAACTGAGTACCCTGGCTTTAAAAAGGATATGGGATTTTAAAATGGGGTTGATATTATTAAGGCAGCGTACCCAAAGTTGTGTAGATCTCGTTTTCACCCTATTTGACCCTCCTTCATGTGTAGTTATTGTCAAAGGAAGTAGGTGTGAGCCTGGATGACTGCAGGCAGAAGCGGATCCAGGGGAGGATCCAGGGGGGTCTGGATCCTAACTATCAGATCTAACGCTTGTTTGAGACAGGATCGTATTGGTTTTCATATAACATATCTCAATGATCTTCCAAATTGCAAATAAGATGCGTAATGTATATTTTCGCCAAATCTTCTGGCATTTTATATAAAAACTACAATCCTAAAGTTTCCAAAGAGAAGATCAAACCTTACCTTTCCTTTTCGAGCTCAGAAACAGATGGCAATTATTTAAACTAATTGATTTTTGTGAGTTATATTGGTATATTTTTATATTAGTTATCTCGCATTTCTAATTGAAGATTAGAACAAATGGACGTATAAATTAATAAATAAATTAATGAAATTCTTTCAGCAATTGACAACAGTTTTTGTTACTGGAAAATGTGAAAATTTTGGATCGACCCAGTTATTATATAAAACGCGTCACTTTGTGCTGGCCAATTGAAATGTTCGTGGCACTATTCAAATCATTTCCAGCGACGCTGTTGGACTTTGGTTCCCTTCTTTCTCAAATTTGATTGCAGCCCCTGCATTTCCAGCTAGTTTCGGCGGAGTAAACGGACTGATCTTCATGGTCTGATCAGCACCTCTGATGGAATCAAGCCAGGAGGGAGAGGAACACATTGATGATGTGATGCTCGTGTCCCCTCTACTACTGAGATGTAATTATTCTCTAGACTATTTCTTCTTTGGATCTACGGTTGAAAGGAACAAGAGCCGATAAAGATTTTGATGACTGTCGCAAGATTGAAAGCGTCCTTCGCAGGCGATTAAATACCCCATCTTGACTTCTTGATTGCCTACTCTCGGTTCCGCCCGCCTTCGGCTAATGGTGGCCGGAGAATCTTCATTGTTCACCCAAAGGGTGACTGCTGCCCAAAGAGTTCTCGGCCATGATTCAAAACAATTACCAGACTGTCTGGAAACACAGCTATTTGAACTGCTCCTTTTTCCGAATTCAGTGTTTCAGGGAGCTACTAGCGATGTGAGATACAATGGTCCTAAAGATTATAGCGAAATTTTTAATTGGGTACCCAATTTATTTCTCTAATTTCTGCCTAATGACAAGAATTCAAGGTCTTTACCAACTTAGACTCCTCCAATATATCGACTTTTAAAAATTCATTTAAAAGTATCTGTAATGAGAGACTAATAGGAGAAAGGTAACGTTTGAGAAATTCCTCCTGCTTGTGGCTGACTGTATACAAATAGGCAATTTTCACGATGACGTCAGTAGATCAAAACAACCAAAATTGATTTCCTTAATTGCTTTCTTATTTAAATTTACCAATTCTACTGAGATTTATAGAAAAAAGATCCCCAACTGAAGGATTCTGGTAATTGAGGTCAAATAACTTTATCGTGCAAACTTACAATTTGTGAAGTAGAGCCTTTCAGTTTGAGTGAAAATCGGTACATTCTCTTTGACAAGTCTTGTGTGTATTTTCGATCAGGTTTGCGGTTCCATTGGTTTACGAACAACCTAGTTTTCTAATTACATTTGCATAGGCGGTAATCAATTAGCTGACTTAGAATGAGTTTTCCTGAGTTAATTAGCGGAAGCAATTATCGATTTAAAACAACATCATGATCAGTTGAGTGTTCAATTGCTTGACATGTGGGCTGAAGCGATGGATTTTCATGTGAAGTAGTCAATTAGAGGACTTGGAAGTTTTCCTGGGCTAATTAGCGGAGGTAATTATCGCTGGGATTCCAAACAACATTATGATCAGTCGAGTGTTAAATTGCTGCACATTTCAGTTTAAGCGATAGAATGATTTGTATCATCAAAG